AAAAAACACGCCATTAAAAACTTGTGCATTATATTTTGAAGTTATGCGATACTTTGTGTGACAATCAGACTGAAATTTAATTTATCCCCTGAAAATCACTAAACTAACACTGAGTCAGTAAACTGGAAAACTGGTTCAAAAATCGGACTCAACAATCAGAGTTCAGCTCACTGGAGGGAAAGATTACCAGTGAACAACAACGTCAGTTTTTGGTCTGTTCCTCACAAACAGATAGGAATGACTTAAATGTGCTGGTCCTCTTCAGTTACTGAATCTCTCTCTCTCTCTCTCAGGGGGTGAAGCCTGCCAGTTATAATAAGGTGATGGATCCTGAGGTGAAAGAGATCATTGGCGAGTGTATTTGTCAGAATAAGGAGGAGCGGTGAGTACCGACAGCTGCTGAATGTCCATGAGCCCAGAACAGTTCAGACAGAGACAGACCTGAGCTGCCCTGCTCTTGACTGAAACACAGACTCATGAGTGCATTCAATTGGACCGTGAAGCCTTTTGACATCATGAAATAAATAAATGCCAAACGCTGTTTTCTAATAAAATCTAATGTATATCAAGCACATCGAGGTCAGCTCAGTAGACCTTTTGGCCGTTTGGGTCCTACGGCGCCATTAAAAGTCTTAAATGGTACAAGAAAGTCTTAATTATGATTTCAGGAGGTCTTAAATTTGGGGAGGATAGACGAGAATTGCGATACGGCTGAATGTGACGATTAAACTTCAAAAGGCTGTGATTTCATTGAATAAACATGAGCTCTGAAAACCACTGTATTTCTGCTGTACTGACAGCGCCTCCTGCTGGCAGAGAATGAGCGTGCATTTTCAATACGTTTTTGTTCAGACCAATGTGAAAATCAACCCATGTTTTTAGATTAGCCTCTAATACACACACTGGCGAGTAAAATCTAAGAATTTATTAGCCGATGGCTAACAATAGACATCATTTAGTCGCCCAGAGTACGATTTAGTCGCATATGCGAGTGATTTACTCGCAATGTAGAGGGTTGTCAATTTTATTTTATTTGTGCAGGTCTTTAAAAAAAGTCTTACATTTGAGCTTAAATATCCTGCAGATACCCTGGTCTGGCAAAAACCATCAGTTCATGTTTTTATTCTCAGATTTTACACTCACCGGTCTCAGATTGACTAACAGTGAAGTAAACACTTCAGCAGGCTACGCTTTAGTGTCCCATTACTATGCTAGCATAAAATGTCTTTATGACCTTAAAATGAATAATGCATTCAAATAATAGAAAAAATATTCGTTGGATGCAGTCACTCCATGTTCTTGCTGGAATAACAGGTGATCCAGCAGACAGCATGATACTTCAGATAAACAACTAAAACGCAAAAAGTGGCGGGAACTTTTGTCCCACCTATCCCAACATGTAAATGAGCTTATGCTACTAAAACCAGTGTCTACTGTACTAAGGAACATTTCCAGGTTTACCTTTTGTTTTAATGAAACGTTTTCAGAGGATTTGTAATTAAATCATGCAAGACATGTGTGCTATTCTGTGTTAACTATGAAGGAAACAGAATAACTTTTCAAGCAGTTCAGACAAATTTCCAGGTTAATCCACCTCCCACGTTCGGTTTTATCTGAATACAGACACAAATAATTTTGCCATCGCAGCGGACACGGATTGTGTTGATCATTATAGTGTTGAATGCATTCATCAAACACAGCTGTTCAACCCTGTTACCAAACATATTGTACGAAAATTAAACACTTTATAGTTTATTTTATGGGATAAAAAGTTTATCAGTAAATACAAACCAAGTTTTATTCCCAAAGCAGCTAATCCCTGCTGGGTGACTGCTTAACTTCTGAATCTGCAGCTCTATTATCAATGCCGCTTGGTTGTAATTCTATGCATTTTTATTTCAAATGCAATCAGTCGATGTTTATTGCTAGAAAATAAATCACACAAGTGTTTGAAAGGGCTTAAACTGTAGTCACACACGTCCCAAATGCTGTCAATAGGGCTCCAAAGTGCAAGCAGAAACTAAATCACTCATGATATACAGTAGTTTGAGTTTCTGAGGTTGTCGATCAGCATTTCCTGAAGGTTTCTTAATTATGATTTCAGGAGGTCTTAAATTTGGGGAGGATAGACGAGAATTGCGATACGGCTGAATGTGACGATTAAACTTCAAAAGGCTGTGATTTCATTGAATAAACATGAGCTCTGAAAACCACTGTATTTCTGCTGTACTGACAGCGCCTCCTGCTGGCAGAGAATGAGCGTGCATTTTCAATACGTTTTTGTTCAGACCAATGTGAAAATCAACCCATGTTTTTAGATTAGCCTCTAATACACACACTGGCGAGTAAAATCTAAGAATTTATTAGCCGATGGCTAACAATAGACATCATTTAGTCGCCCAGAGTACGATTTAGTCGCATATGCGAGTGATTTACTCGCAATGTAGAGGGTTGTCAATTTTATTTTATTTGTGCAGGTCTTTAAAAAAAGTCTTACATTTGAGCTTAAATATCCTGCAGATACCCTGGTCTGGCAAAAACCATCAGTTCATGTTTTTATTCTCAGATTTTACACTCACCGGTCTCAGATTGACTAACAGTGAAGTAAACACTTCAGCAGGCTACGCTTTAGTGTCCCATTACTATGCTAGCATAAAATGTCTTTATGACCTTAAAATGAATAATGCATTCAAATAATAGAAAAAATATTCGTTGGATGCAGTCACTCCATGTTCTTGCTGGAATAACAGGTGATCCAGCAGACAGCATGATACTTCAGATAAACAACTAAAACGCAAAAAGTGGCGGGAACTTTTGTCCCACCTATCCCAACATGTAAATGAGCTTATGCTACTAAAACCAGTGTCTACTGTACTAAGGAACATTTCCAGGTTTACCTTTTGTTTTAATGAAACGTTTTCAGAGGATTTGTAATTAAATCATGCAAGACATGTGTGCTATTCTGTGTTAACTATGAAGGAAACAGAATAACTTTTCAAGCAGTTCAGACAAATTTCCAGGTTAATCCACCTCCCACGTTCGGTTTTATCTGAATACAGACACAAATAATTTTGCCATCGCAGCGGACACGGATTGTGTTGATCATTATAGTGTTGAATGCATTCATCAAACACAGCTGTTCAACCCTGTTACCAAACATATTGTACGAAAATTAAACACTTTATAGTTTATTTTATGGGATAAAAAGTTTATCAGTAAATACAAACCAAGTTTTATTCCCAAAGCAGCTAATCCCTGCTGGGTGACTGCTTAACTTCTGAATCTGCAGCTCTATTATCAATGCCGCTTGGTTGTAATTCTATGCATTTTTATTTCAAATGCAATCAGTCGATGTTTATTGCTAGAAAATAAATCACACAAGTGTTTGAAAGGGCTTAAACTGTAGTCACACACGTCCCAAATGCTGTCAATAGGGCTCCAAAGTGCAAGCAGAAACTAAATCACTCATGATATACAGTAGTTTGAGTTTCTGAGGTTGTCGATCAGCATTTCCTGAAGGTTACACGCCTTTGACATTTTGCTGGAGAAGAAAGAAAATGATTTTAATTGTACTTTGTGCCCTGTTGCGTCCAGTAACCGCTCCGCCGACGCTCTTCCCACAGTTACTCCATCAAGGACCTGCTGAATCACGCGTTCTTCGCGGAGGTCACCGGCGTGAGGGTGGAGCTGGCGGAGGAGGACGACGGCTTGAAGACGTGCATCGCACTGAAGCTGTGGGTGGAGGATCCCCGCAAGCTGAAGGGCAAGTACAGGGACGGAGGAGCCATCGAGTTCAGCTTCGACCTGGAGAAGGAGGTCCCTGAAGCCGTGGCGCAGGAGATGGTGCGTGATCGAGTGATTTGACCACCGTAATGAGATCAAAGAGAAATGATTGCGTTTGTCATTGAATCCAGCTTCCTAACAGAACTGTTCAGTTTCAAAATAACCATGTAAATGTAGTAAACAAGATTTAACTGTGGTATGTGAACACCACAAACACAAGCGGTGTGTTTCATGGCCCATGAAATCTGATGTTGTCTTCCTGTTTCACTGGTATCTTATCTATGAAGACTGATCTAGAGATATTTCCAGTCTGTATTGTGAAACACAGGATTTAATGGAATAATGTCCTGGCCAGCAGTGAGTTATTCTGTTAGAGCGGTGGGTGATATGTTCATGAATGAACTCCTTTCTATCCTCTCGTAACCTCTGCTCGTGAGGCCATTTTCCCTTTAGGGTTTTATTTGGCCACTTGAGGTCCTGTGTTTGGTCGCACTTGTTGAGACTTCATGAAAACCACCCTCGCTTTCTCAGGAACTCTGGATCACCTTCTTTAGTTCTTACCAAACCGGTTTGGAGATTTTAATACAGGACACACTTATGTTGAGCAGTCAAAGCCACTTGAGCGCATTATATATATGCTCAAACATGCGCTTAAGGACAGTATGTGACCTCCTGGACCCGTTTGGATTGGAAAATCTTGTTGCTGTAATCACATGTTATGTAATCGGAGCATTTTAATGTGTGGGAGCATTTGCTAAAGAGAAAATGAGTCGGCAGCTGCTATTTATACGGATCGCTGCAAACATTACAAAGGTTTTCTTGTTTCACCCTGTCAGCCGTTTGTTCACTAGACAGATATTGATCTTTCCGTTTTGCCGTTCTACACAAAAACCTTCATGGATGAATCTCACAAATGCGCAAAATTTATGTTAGCACTGTTTTTGTTTTTTTATATGACAGTTATCCTCTGTAATGTGAGAAGATCTGCAAAGTGTTGTGCATCTATAGTTTTTAAATCCTTTTTTGATTATGTATTAAAATAAAATAATACAATGTAGTGCAATGAGAATTGCCAGAATCAAATATTTTATATTTAATATAATATGTTTAAATGTGACCCTGGAGCACAAAAGCAGTGTTAAGTCGCTGGGGTATATTTGTAGCAATAGCCAACAATACATTGTATGGGTCAAAATTATTGATTTTTCTTTTATGCCAAAAATCATTAGGATATTAAGTAAAGATCATGTTCCATGAAGATATTTTGTAAATTTCAAAATTACAAAATACAATTAAAATTTTGTAAATTTCCTACTGTAAATATATCTAAACTTATTTTTTGATTAGTAATATGCATTGCTAAGAACTTCATTTGGACAACTTTAAAGATGATTTTCTCAGTATTTTGATTTTTTTGCACCCTCAGATTCCAGATTTTCAAATAGTTGTATCTCGACCAAATATTGTCCTATCCTAACAAACCATACATCAATGGAAAGATTATTTATTCAGCTTTCAGATGATGTATAAATCTCAATTTCGAGAAATTGACTGGTTTTGTGGTCCAGGGTCACATATTTCTGCTTATTTTTATTTCCAGTTTTTATAAATTAGAGACAGCACATCAAAAGCAACCATGATTTCATTCTTCTTCTTTTTTTAAACAATTGTTCTTGTTGTCGTTAGTCATATTTGGTTGTATTTTTCTTTTGTATAGTGCAGTGCATCTAGTTTAAGCTTTCCTCCAAAGACAGTTTTCCTTTAATTCTGTGATCTGCGTTCCTCTGTTCCTTAAATAGAGCCCTCGCTTCTGCTCTAAAAGTGCGTGTTCACACCAGCCCCCTCTTTTCCTTCCATCAGGTGGAGTCTGGTTTCTTCCATGAGAGCGATGCAAAGATAGTGGGCAAGTCTCTCCGTGACCGAGTGGCTCTGATTAAGTGGCGCAGGGAGAGGACGGTGCCGAGGGCCTCCCAGGCCGTGCCGGGCGAGACAGGGCCCGTCCTCTGTGAACCGCCCGGTCTGCTGGAGCCTGAAGAGCCGGAGGTGGATCAGCATGTCCTCGTGTGTCCGCTCGGTGCCAGGACCACCTCCACCACATGTAAGCCTGCGTGCTTGTGAAGGTTTGGGGTTAAATACAGCTTCAGCTCTACGGAGAGAGTCTTCCACGTCATGCTGTTTACCGAAGAAAACAACACGCATTAAGCACTTAATAATAAACACTGAATCTTTGTTAACACCCAAATAATCACAGAAGTACACCAATGCATTTGGTCAAATATGAACCATTATTAATAACTGAGCAGCAAATCAGTATATTAGAATGATTTCTGAAGATCATGTGACACTGAAGACTGCAGTAATGATGCTGAAAATACAGCTGCGCATCACAGAAATAAATTACAGTTTAACAGATATTCACATAGAATGCTCTAAATACTAAAAAAACTATTCAAATATCAGACTGTTGTTAAAATATGAACATGAGTCACAGACTCCCTTACAAACATAGTTTGTGTAACAATCTCCAGTCATTTTACTCATTTTGTTACCATGTAAACTAAGGGACGAGTGATTCTGTCGTGTGTTTGGTGCAGAATATTCCTAGTACGTGTTTGTCTTCGCTCTGTGTCTCTCTAGCTGACAGTGGCATCGGCTCAACCGTGTACTCGGACTCCCACAGCAGTGGTCTGCACAGTGTCATACACCAGTCATTACAGGAATCTGTCTCCACGGCAACCCAGCAGGTCTGTATCACTCCCCATTACTGTTGCTGATGCACGTCAGAAACCATAGTGATCTGTGAAGTTTGCATTGCCCTGCTAGCGTGTTAAGTGTGCGGACACATGCATGCTTGTACTTGCATAGCTTTTAAATATAGACCATCATTTTATCATAATGACACAATGTTTGCAGCTCTGTAACTGGACCGTGTTTTCACCTTGTCATCAACCACTTCATTTTTGCCTGGTGGTTTCATTATTTTGCTTATGTAGCATGCATGATGACATGGTCTGTGTTTCATTAGTCTGTTTTGTTAGTGGTGTTGGCTAATGCAGGCGTCACTATCACTGGTGCTCACACTCATCTGTGCTCCAGACATGAATGATTCCTTAAAGTTATGCAGCTTGTTGAGAAAACAAAAAGATGTGCTGTTACTTTTATAAGCTATCAGATGTAACATTTTCATCTGGATGATGATAAAATTACAAAAATAAATAAATAATAAAATAAATAAATCTATGTCTACAGAGCAGAATATCATAGAGATTATTTTAAACAGCTGTCATTTTAAAAGTGGGATATCTACACCTGGAAAAAGCTATGGCAATTAAAATCCTAAACACTATATTTTTGTAATGAATATAGTGTATTGTACACACAAAAACATTTTAGCCTATTCAAACATCATTCAATTTTCCTCTAAAAATGTACAAATCTAGTTTGTTGTGTCCTTTATTTGTTGTGTGTTTTTAGCTCTGTGCTACAGGTCCTTGTTTGCCATTTCATGATAATAGTTCAGAGAAGTGGCTTTTCTTCCAGGGTGCACGTCATAAAGGCTCTTCTGTAAATGAGTTAATCAGAAGTCACAAGCGTTTCCTGCTCCAACCCACGAGTCCTTCCTCCTTTCAAATACCACGAGACCAATCAGAGATGACAGAAGATGCATTCGGAAGTTCTTGCTCTGGAAATTTGCTGCGCGCTCCTTGGCCGGTTACGACTCGTCGCTATAGCGACACATCAGTGGGGCCGTCCTCTGAGACAAAAGGGGAGGAGTCTGTCTCCATGGCAAGGCAGGGGCGTCGGCTTTCGTTAAGCCCCACCTCTCAGCAGCCGCTGCCCTCGTGTCAGGCCTGCGGGCCGTTATTCCTGCTTGGGACATGTGCAGATAGAAGACATTCGCCCTATTCTTCATTTATGCTTCCGCACATTGGATTGTGGTCTGATGTCCGCAGGGGCTCCTTCAGTGAGACCTCTGACCTCTCCCAGCTTAACAAATCTCTGGAGAGCATCACAGGCCACAAACATAAGCCTGCTCCTGCCTTTCTGAGAGCCCCGCCGATGACGTCCGAAAGAGTCAGCCACAGCGATGACCTGACATCCCATCGCAGAGCGAGCTTTTGTGCCGGCGAGCGCTCTGTGACTGACGCGGTAGGTCGCTCCGCCGGAGGACACGGTGTCACCCTGCCGCTTGTAGAGGAAATGCTCTGGATTCCTCCAGCCTTTGCAGTGGTTCTGCTGTCGCTCCCAGGTGCCTGTAGGACTCTTCTCCTCTATGCTTCCTCTCAGCGGTTGTAACCGTACTTACCTGTCCCTACTGCTATTCTCTAACAGAGGAGATCCCAACAATCCACTTTCCTCCCCGAAACCTACCCATTAACCACGCTTACGATATGTCTGATGTCATGATGCTAAATTTCTTTATTAACGTTTCATGCTTTCATTTGACCTGGTTGTATGTGGTCTGCATGGCTCTGTGTTACTCACTGTAGCAGCTGTCGGGGTGTGCTGTTTTATTCGTACACAACAATCCAACATACTAGACTTTGGGCCAGATTTACCAACAGCTTGCGGCAACACAAACCCACTTTAGGCTTTAAAAAATTTCTGTCAGGATTTACTAAAGACATGACGGTGAAAAAAATAAGTGACGAAAAGGTATGGACAAAGTTATTTTTGCATATGCATTTGTAGGAGTTTCCCTTTCAGACGCAAAGGGAGGAGAGTATTCATGCAAGGCGATTTAGTAAGGTTTCTGCTAGTCAGTTTACAGGTGTTTGCACCATTATTTAACGCCCCCAAAAAAGCATGTCTTAACCCATTTTGTGCCTGTGTTGTTAGTAGATTACCTGCAGCTGATTATCATCGGCTCTATAGACCTTATGCTAATTTGTACTGCTCTTGGTAGATTGCGTTGGTCATTATGAAGATGAGCTGTGTTCTTTAATTCGTGCATTGTCTGTAGATCAACCGCAGAACTTTCCACTCCCATCAGTGCTTTTATGGGATTGTGGTCTAAAGCGAATTTGCCCTGTTTAGTAAATCTGGCCTATAGTTTGTGTAATGGAACGGAAGTGTATGTGGGTTCTCATTAGTTTGTTTCCTCTTCTGCAGTATTCTGTTCTGAGAGTCCAAAGCCAGGCTGCACCGGCTGCAGCTCAACACATGCAGATGTACCCTCCTGTCTCCTCAGAGACCCCCGCGCAGGCCACCGGACAGATTCTGTCCACTCCCCAGCCGCTGGCACTTCTGCAGGGCGTCTTGACTGCACCACAAACCATGAAACCACAGCAGCTCGCATCTACAAGTCAGACTGCAGAGTTGAACGCGCAGGCCCATGTGCAGCATCAGCCTGCCTCTGTGCTACATAGTGCCACGCGTCCGAGTTACCATCCTGCCGCAGCAGAGCTAGCCATTGCACAAACATTTCCACCCATGCAGCACACAGAACTCAGTCTCCCATCTAAAACAGAAGCAGCGCTGCCTGCAGATCAGAGTTTTCAGAGCAGAGCATCTGCGCAGCCTCAACAAACACCTGTGTTACAACATTTGCAGCAACCAACTGCGAATGCCACAACAGATGGGCAACACCGCGACTTCTCAAACATGCAGCAAACTGCTCCTGTGCAGCTGAGCCAGACGGGCCCTGCACCACCTGTCCCACAGGTATGCTTGTTTGTCATTTATTGTTTTTTTCTAAACTTTTATGTGAACCCTGCATGCAATTCCCAGCTGTTTGAAAACCTGCGCTCAATACCACCTTCAGATGTGAAACCTATCATCATATCTTATATCTTGAGCAAGTAGCAAACTGAATGGGATAAGTGTATAAAAATCAAACTACTATACACAAAAGCAGTTTCAATGTTGGAGAACATTTTTTTTTTTACTATTCTGTAATTGTAAGACCAGATAATTTGTACCCAAAGGCCACTCCAGACACAAGTTTCTAATATCTGACAGTTCACAGTCTCTGAAGCCTATTTTATTGGCTTTGGGTATGATTTCAGTTTAGGATATTGTGACGTGTACGTTCCCGGAAGAAAACTCAGGACTATAATTAAGGCATCTGAGAGAGTTCAGAAACTGCTCTTACTGAAATAGAGAAAATTTGCTGACTAACTTGTACTGTAAGACTAGTCTAAGTTTATGTAACTGGCCACAGGGCTGCCCAATCCTGTTCCTGGATTTCTACCTTCCTACAGAATTCAGCTCCAACAGACATCTGTAATCAAGTTTTCCTGAAGATCTTAATGAGCTGCTTCATGTGTGTTTAGTTTGTTTAGAGTTGGAGCTGAACTTTGCAGGAAGGTAGGTCTCCAGGAGCAGGACTGGACACCCTACTGTAGACTAACAGTGACCAGACAAGAACGAGTCCAAGGAGTGACCTACATCTGCAAACCTTCTGTGTTTTCTTGCATCCTCTTGCTTTTCTCTTTGCACATTTGTATTTATCTCTTTCTATCCTATTAGCTCTGCACTCAGACACAGCTAATGGACGGCTGGCAGCCAGTAGGTCAGTCCACCTCCAGTCTGCTGACACAACCCATTGCTCCTCCACAAGCGCCAGCTTACCTCACACAGGTACACCCTACTGCCGGCTCTTCAGCTGCTCAGATGCTGGATTTGTGTAATTTTGTGTAAACAGTGCACTGTATAAAGGACATTTGGCTGACCAAAGTTAGCATGCGTTTAGCTCTGATCGTGATGGTTAATTCTTCCCATGCTACAATGCGCTTTTGTCTCCTCCTCTAGTTTCCTTCTATTAACACAGCTCAGTCATTTGGGACCCCTCTTCCTGGATGTGACTCGTACCCCGCCTGCTTTCCCTCTGTGCAGTCGTCCCCTGTCCCCACGCACCCCGACATCTCGCCAGTGTCATGTTCACAGATAGAGAGCTCTGCGCTAACCCAGTACCCCCACCTGTCCTCCACCTCCCCTATACCCACACAATGTCCCGCTCCAGTGTTCGCACCTCCAGTTCCCACAGTTCACCAGTACCAGCAGGCCTACTCTGTTGCTCAGCAGCCCGCTGTAAACTCCATAGCCACTCTCTCCCAACATTCCCAAAGTCAGGCCACACCCACAGTGCACCAAAGCCCCCACCCCTCTCCAAACCCCGCCTCAATGTGTGTTGGAGTCCCTCCCACTAAACAAGCTCCGCCCACCCAGGTAGGGTATATCAGTGCCTTAAAGGGATAGATCACACAAAAATTTAAATTCTATAATCATTTACTCGCCTGCATGTCATTCCAAATGATGTGACGTTATTTGTCTTTCTTTTCGAACACATTCATGAAACGTATTCCTACTGGCACACTGCATTGAGTCTACTGAACATAATATGCATTGAATGGTTACCGAATTTTTGAATCACGACGGTTTTCAGAGGAAATATTTACCCGCGTACTAATTAAGTTTATAAAACGGAGAGTTCTGGTGCTTGATTCTGATTGGCTGAGCCGTGTTCGAAGCTGTTGTAAATTACTCTACAAGCATACACCTTTGTTTACGTTTGTCTGTTGCTCGGCAACCACTTTGTTGGAACCACAACTGATTCTGAGGAACTACATTGTTTGGTGGAAGAATACTGTTTTTATTAATATCATTACACTTTATTTGCTCCGTTTTATTTTGTGAAACCTTACTATGTATATGGAATAACCGTTTTATAAAAGCAATAAGCCCCGTGAAGCTGTGGTTTACAGTGAATTTATAATGGCTAAAGGGGTTTTAGCTAACAACGCCCCTTAGCTGTTATAAATTCACTGTAAACCACGGCTTCTTGGGGCTTATTGCTTTAATTAACATTCAAATTCAAGTATTGTGAGTGTTTAAGTCATAGTGTCCCATTTTTTGACTACAGATTTGAAATTTAATTGAAATTGTTTGAACTTGACCTATTCACGTATTTTGAAAAATCGTTAATTTTTCAGGGAACCCAGCACCAAACTGTACATGTGGACCAGAACTCTTCAGGTAGCTCCGATCACGCCCGTGTCTCTCAGATGATGACACACTTGACTCCAGCTCCTGCCCAGAGCTCCTGCTTCCCATCCCACAGCAGCTATAATGTGCCTCAGCCTGCTACAGTACCGCAGCTCTCGCCCTTCAGACCCGTCCTCGACACATTCGGCTCTGCTGTGACCGTGGACCAAAACCAGCCTCATCAGCACTCCAGCCAAGCCTCTTTACCCCCCGTCCTGCATGCTGGAGGCGGTGCCAGCCACCTGGGCAGCAGCAGTGTTACTCCAGCGCAGCAGCACAGCACCAGCGGCTGTGGAGGAACCTCCACTGAAATATTCACTGAGGTGACACTCTTCACTTCAGTATCTATACAGTGACAACATCAATAGGAATAAAGGCTCTGTATTATCGTGCTGCCTTTAGAGATATCTCATTTTGGATTAACTCAAAGGCAGCATCTCATTCTGCATCTTAGTGGAAAAGGCAATCCCATAACACAACGACAAGCTCCAAACACCATTAGTGATGTGTACAGTACATGCAGCGGTCACTTCAAGGGAGTATTATTGTCGTTTACGATCATGTGATCATGAGTGTCATTTTGTAACCAGAGGATCTTTTTCTTACCTCTGATGCTCTCATGCACCCAGGATTGGCAGCAGAAATGCTTACATCTTTTCTTATTTTCATGTTGGCTTGTTTTTACCAAAGTCCACATGGACAGACAGACTGTATGTACATTGTAATAAATTTGATTTGCATCATCAGTCTTTACAGCTATAAACAATTTTGATACTGCATTATCTAGGTAATATTCTGTTCTACATAAAGTGGCAGGAATGCATAGATTTGCGTGGGATGTGCCAGGAGATATCGTAGATTATGAATGGAATTCATTTATTTGTTTAGTCCAATTAATGGACTGTTTTACAAAATTTTTGCGTGTGCTGTGTATTTTTGTTTTTATATTTAGCCTAGCAACATACAATCTCTAGTGGCGTCATGTGCCATTGCCATTGAATTCATTGCCTTCTGTGCACTTTAGGAGCATGTTCCTGATACACAGGCAGCACCAGCTGGGTCCACTTATGACAGGTGGGATTCTCTGTTCATAGATCAGTGCCATATTCTCGTTTTCATCTTGCCATATGCATGCAGAAGCTCAGTGATTGGGTCTTTGCTCTTTTGCAGTATAAACTCAGATGCCACAGCCGGTAAAGAGGTGAGCGATGGGAACGAGGGTTCCAGCAGGGCTCGCAGTGAATCACGAGTGCGAAAACCCAATCGCAAAACGTCCCGCACGCGCCTCCGCCAAGACAAGATCAACAGACCCAAACTCACCATGATCAAAGTGAGTCTGGATCTCACGGTGAAACAGATGCAGAATGTCCAAACATGATCTTAAAGAGATAGTTCATCCAAAAATGAAAAGTACCCCGTGATTTACTCACCCTCAAGCCAGTCTAGGTGTATATGACAAAATCTCGGCCTCCATTCACTCCCATTATAAAGCTTGTAAGAGCCAGGACATTTTTTAATATAACTCCGATTGGAGTCGTCTGAAAGAAGAAAGTCATACACTCCTAGGATGCCTTGAGGGTGAGTTAATCATGGGCTAATTTTCATTTTTGGGTGAACTATCACTTTAAGATGCTAGCTGTCAAAAATAAAGTGATTTGTGAAGTTTATAATTGTTTGAGTGTTTCATGGGTTAAAGCTCAGACCTGAGTTCTGGTTTGGACATTAGAAAACCTAAAATAAATAAGACACGCTTCTGATAATGTTGACACAGTTCTTTCAGAGGCATTACGATTGTAAATAGTAAGATTGTAATTCATTAATTTATTTATTTTCTTGACGTTCCTGTTGTCATATTCTCTGTGACTGTGTTACAGGTGTGTGACACAGGAGACAAGATGGTGGAGTGTCAGCTGGAGACTCATAACCATAAGATGGTGACGTTTAAATTTGACCTTGATGGAGATGCTCCAGAGGAGATTGCCACATATATGGTGAGATCTTCACCTCTACTTTCTCTGTCCCTCCCCATATGCCCTTCTCTTCTTCTGACAATCTCCTAGAGGTGATGTGTTTCAAACTCCTGGGCTAGTTTGTGGAAGCCATTTTTCTTAAGTAAACGTGGTGGGATTTGGAGTAGGAATGGGCTAAAAGTAGAGGTCGACCGATAAGGGTTTTTCTCTGGCCGATGCCGATATTTAGAAATCAGGGCAGCCGATATATGATGCCGATTTTTTTGGCCGATATTTTGGCCGATTTTCTTTTTTCTTTTTTTTTCCCTTCATCTCATAAAAGTGAGTTTGAGTAAATGATTATTGCAGGGTACAAGATAGTAATAGTAGTAGTAGCCTAATTCAGAGTAATAATACATGGCTCAAAACTTAAGCACCTTCTGCCTTTTGGGAAATCTATTTGTGATTTCCGCCACAAATAATTAAATGTATAGGAAACACTGGACTCTGCTATAAGTCAAATGGCCAAGTGGTAACAAAAATAAAAGAGTTCATGCATATTACACAGCCTGCTGCTCATAACTGCTTAAGAGTGCACTGGCCACGAGCGATGAGAGATTCTTCAGCGTTCCATAACAACACTTAGCTGCCCACAGATGCGCCTGCCTATAAATCGGCCTAATTTGCAGCATAATCGGCCATGACCCCTTTAAAAAATGCCAAAAATTGGCCGATTAATTGGTCGACCTCTAGCTAAAAGTTTTACAAATGTGTAAAACTAGAGTAATGAAACAACCAGGTATTATTGCATGTTTAATCACATAAATTAAGTACTTTTACATTTTCATTTAATTAAAAACACAAAACAAAAAACAACATAAACAGTGAAACTTAAATGATTGACTCTAAATTCTCATTTCTTTTCTCATCTCAAATGCACAATTCTGTGGTTAGTTGCATTACGTTAATTGTATTTAGCAAACAACACATCTGAGCCTATCAGAACACAACTGAGACATTTTTGGGAGCAAACCCACTGGTTCAGAGCCACCGCATTAGTGCTTTATTGACATGTGAAATGTTGTTCATGTTCAGTGTTCCTTATATATAACTCACTGAATCTTAATTGGGCATACTGTATCTGCTTGAGCTGGTTTTCTTAATGAGAGAAACAGATGAGTGGGCTCAAAGTGCTGGCTCTTGTTTCTGGTCCTCCAGGTTGAGAATGAGTTTATTCTGTTGCTGGAGAGGGAGATGTTCATTGAGCAGCTGAAGGAGATCATGGATAAAGCTGAGGACATTCTGAATGAGGACGCTGAGGGTGAGAAGGCGTCTGTCCAGACCTCACCGCTCCGTCAGACGCCCGTTGCAGCAGACTCCGGCACGCAGGTCTTACTTAATACAGACATGCTTTAGACATTTTATTCTATTATTATATATTATATATGTTTTTTTTTTTTTTAAATAAATAAGCGCAGAATCAAATCAGCTTTGTGTTGCCTGCAGTGATCGTGTCAAGAATGAGCCACATTTCCATGTGTGTAGTGAAATGTGGATGTTTAGGAAAGTGCTGCTGTGAGTTTTTGTGCCATCTAGTGGTTAAGAGGAAAATAAAATCAAACGCACCTTTTACCCTGCTGTGTCTTTAGGTTGTACCCTACTGTGTAAATGTAACGGTGAAGTGTGTCATTTCTGTGCCACTAGCATCACCAAACAGAACTGAACTTGTCTTCTGTATTCAGGGGTCAAAACCTGAGCGCACGCAGTCTGACCAGCTAGTCTACAAACAGAACGGTAAGACCACGACAGATCTCACTGTAGCTACTGTAGAATGAGCGTTTAACCCTCAGTCTGCCTTGACTTGCAGTGCTTCACACCGGAAAGCGCTGGTTCATCATCTGTCCTGTGGCTGAGACGGCCGCCGCGCCTGACAGAGAAGAGGCCGTCTCCAGTAATTCAGCACACAGTGCATTTTTAGCATTAACTCATATGCACTTGCAGATGATTATCTCACACTATTACTTGTGTTTTCCAGACCCAGAGAGCTCCTCTACATCTCAAATGCAGGATGTCAACACAGCCGGTGCCAAACCTCTGCAGAAGCGGCCATCATTGCTCTCTGAGGTCGCTCCGTTGGCCGAGGGCCCTCAAGCTGCCTGTGCGGCGGGTGTTTCTGTGGTTTCTGACATCCCGTGCTGCCCACTTGTGCCTCCCGTTTCACTCGATGTGGCGGCTCAGAAAGCCATGGAGGGCCATCAGCAGCCCGTCGCCCACACCAACAGCCCCAGCGCAGAGCTGCCTGTGAGCCAGACCCAGCCCGTGGTGCTGCAGCAGCCCTTTGCCACGGCCACTCCACAGGCTTCTGTCACCAGCGGCCAATCACAGCTCCAGAGCCCCACCCATCAGCCCCAGAGCCCCACCTATCAGCCTCAAAACTCCACCCATCAGCATCAAAACCCCACCCATCAGCCCCAGAGCTCCACCCATCAGTCTCAAAACTCCACCCATCAGCCCCAGAGCTCCACCCATCAGTCTCAAAACTCCACCCATCAGCCCCAGAGCTCCACCCATCAGTCTCAAAGCTCCACCCATCAGCCCCAGAGCCCCGCCCACCAGCCCCAGAGCCCCAACCATCAGCCTCAGAGCCCCACCCA